ACCTTGGCTGCTCTGTGGATCACCTCTGAGGTACTGGTGAATTGACCACAAGACTTTCATGGCCACGTATGTACGTTTACTAACTATCTTTCTGTTAGTAGAAGCTTCTTTTTTAGGGTTGGGGGAGTCAAAAAAGCACATGAGCAAGTCTTTGCTTATTCCTAAAAGATCATCAGCCACTAGGACTGCAGCTGGTGCAGTCAATTCTGCTCAGTTCAACACAATTTGCCTATTAGACATGAACCTGACTTTTGGTTCGGGTTTAGGTTTGGATCTAGTGGTGTGAAGGTCTAATAACTAAACCTTGCATATCTAAACTTGTATCTTTTACTCTTCTTAATAACTGGAGGTTCTAGACGAAAAGGGATTCATGATGGATGTTATGAGTATTTGTGGGGATTTCTGCCAGGCTGGTGGTAACTCACTGGGACTTGTCTTCCCAAGCAGGGAGATTAAGGGCAGTTTTGCCTCATGTACTGCAGCATATGCAAGCTGGCTTCAAAAGAACAAATATGACGAAGTGCAAAAAGGCTGCATTAAATAGCATTCCTTCAGCCCTGTGCCAATCCCATGTCAACACAACTGCACTGCTCTCAGTGCCACAGCTGGGTCACTGGAACCAACCCTGCCATGCCCTTGAGAACTTCAGGCCTCGGAGGTTCAGGTACAGCTGAAGAAATTCCTGTGGTGTTTCCCCATACTCAACATTCCTACGCACTCTCGGCTTGAGAAACAGGTAGAAAATGCAGCATCAGCAGTGTGTCTGATATGGGTGTTACGGCTCAGCGCTGGGAGTCAGAAGCCCAAACTGGATAATTAACCTAGCAATGAGATCTAGTGTGGTCCGTAGCTTTTTGGTGAAGCTTTACCATTATCTCACAACCCAGGCTGCTAAAATCACCCATAGGAGAGAATGGCATTCCTTGGAGTTGTTTTGGGTAGGACAGTGGCCTGCCCATCACTGGCCCATTACATCCGAATTCCTTGAGGTGGCAGGATCAGCTGTTTCCTGGTCTTACCTCTACCAGGAGCACATAAGGAATCATAGCCTCCATGTCCCAGATGTAAACAGTTCCTAACTGTTAGGTTAACAGTAACACTGTTCCTAATCCCCCATGGAGCATCCCTCAGAGACCCTGCAGAAGTACAGTGGGAAACAGCTGAGATCAGAAAGGTACACTTATAGGGCATCGGGTCATACTGAGGGATTCCAAGCAGGTTTGGACTTGGCAGTGTTTATATCTTTCAATTTTATCTTTTTTATTCTTGAGAATAACTCCAAATCAGCCATTAGTGTGGTACCTCTATGCATCATTCATTCTCAAACTCCAAGTTGCTTTTGACAGAATTCTTATTTTGGTGATCACTGTCCACTCAGTATTGCAGTTGTGTGGATATCATCTTCTTTGTAAGTAACAATTTTAGTTTCTTGTTCACCTAAGTCAGTGAGAGCTTCATGATGAGCTTCAGTAAGAACAGACACTGCTGGATAAGTCTAAATATTCTGTCATGGGTCTTCATACAGGTACACTACCTGCAGTTCCTTATCTCTCCATCACTTGCTCTTCTTTGTGGCTGTGCTAAACAGCACAGGTAATTTTTATTGCTGAATGTAAAATAGGAGGTAATGTAGTTTTGGCAGCCATGGAAGCAAGTGAAGTTTTGAATCCAGAAAGTTTGAGATGAAAAGTTATTTGTGTGGGTAACAAAATACTCTTGATGCAGTACTTGCAGGGGATCATTTTCTTTTCACCATATAGCTCATGAAACAGCAATGAATCTTCTTAAAGGTGATATCAGAATATTGTATTTTTCGTTTTAAAAGCATTTAACTTGGTAAACAGTAGAGCTGTTACATGGTCTGAAACACTTCCAGCTTTCCTTAAACACCTGCTGCTCCATCTGCTGGGAGTAGTTCTTAGTACCAAGCCTGTGCCAGCCAAAACCTTGCTTCCCTGGGAAACTGTGGGTCAATTGCAGTAAAGATCCTTGCCTTGTTTGGAAGGAACAGTTTTGTAACAGTCTAGTTGTTGCTGTCAAGACTTTAATAATAGAATGATAGAGTGGTTTGGGTTGGAAAGGACCTTAAAGCTCATCTGTTTCCAACCCCCTGTGCACTAGCACAGGTTGCCCAGAGAACCTGTGGCTGCCCCATCCCTGTTAGCGTTCAAGGCCAGGTTGGGCAGGGCTTGGAGCAATCTGGTCTAGTGGAAGGCACCCCTGCCCATGGCAGAGGGTTGGAATTAGATGAGTTTTAAGCTCACTTTCAACACAAACCACTCTGTGATGCTTCTATGACTCAATCACAATGTACATGTGAACTTGTTCCTTGTGGGAATCCTGTAGTGGAGCTCTTCAAAGCAATCCACAGAGAATGGAGTATAAGATGGTGTTGAGGAGAGATTTTGAAGGCAGCTTGAATCCTTAGGTTAATTCCATTCTGTCTCTAAGAAAGTCAGTCCTGTGAAACTTGTTTCTTGGCATAAGGTAAACTGAATGTTTTTTCTGACACAGACCTTTGTGAGAGCAATGTTGTGTTAATAGGGAGAAAATACGAGATGAATAATTTAACTTTGGAATACTTGCTCCACAAGATGTGCAGTCTGAGTTCTGTGCTCATTCCGTGTGAAACTGCCCTGCTGACAGCCTGTTCTCAGCTGGTTCTAAAAGGGATTGCCTTTCTAAAAACCATGGGCTAAAATCATTGTGTCAGGTCTCACACTCTGGACAGCTCAGAATGACCTTTTTCCTTGAGAGGAAGGGAGAAAGTTCTGTTTAGCCTGACTAAAAAAACCCATCAAACTCTAAATCCTGCTCACATATACCAGCCTCTGAACAGAGGTGTTTATTTTTCACCAGTTACCCATAATATAGTATTTATCTAGTTTTTAAGGGGATGAGTAACTTCATTGAGTATCTGCAGATGTTTTAGCCCCTTAATGTATACTCTGGTGGCAGGACATTTCTCATCTTCCCAGAAGACACAAAGAAGACACAAGGAAGGTCCTCAAGATGAACAATTTTTGACCCATCTGCGTAATTCTGGGTTGTTATTTTTTTTAAACTTCACTTCCACAAATACTCTTTTTAGTCCAAAAGTGACCACATAATTCTAATTTATCTCTAAAAAGTAGGGCAGCAGTATTAGTTGTTTCTAAAAAAGAAGTTCTTCAAAACGAAATCCACCATGAATTATTTCAGTGGTTCAGTGAGCAGTGGAACTGAAGTGGTACCTCAGGATTTCTGTCTTGTGGCTGGGCTCTTCCCTGATGGGATGTAAGCTAAGAGTAGAGTCTTGAGGTCCCATGGGGTTGTCTTATGGATGGGTGTTTTTTCAGGCCAGCAGTTGTTTTTAATGTAGTCGGTCTTTCCAGATCGCATAAACTGTACGTGCTTTCATGCAGTTAGTTTTTTTAATGGCAGGCATTGCCATGCAGAAATCAAGTATATTTGGAGATACCATTACCCTATAAGGTGCACAATAGCATTGATGTCTCTGGCATCACTGTTGACTTCAAAACTTTCCGATGAAAGTTTCTAAAGCATTTCTGGGGTTTGGAAATGCTTTGCCCATTAACTTTAAGATTTATTTAGAATCAGGAGTACTGTTCCGATTTTCAAAGCTAAACACATCCCTGGCAGTGTTCAAGGCCAGGTTGAACAGGTTGGAGCAACCTATTCTAGTGGAAGGGGTACCTGCCTGTGGCAGGGGGTTGGAACTAGATGAGCTTTAAGGTCTCTTCCAACCCAAATTATTCAGTGATTCTGTGTTCATGTCGTCTCAATATTCTGCCTTCCCAACCTAGAGCTTCAGAACACAAAAATGGCTTTAAGTCAAATCCTCAAGTATTTTGCAAGGACAAACTTATGCTGAAGTTGACAGCACATTTCCTTGAGTGAGAGCTGCTGGCAGCAGAATCTTTTACAAAATGAACAAAAATACACTCTCTTTCTCTGTGAAAATACTCATCCCATGTGTTTAAACTGATGGATGTGAGACAAATGTTTGGCGAAACAAATAGGAACAGAGCCTGGAATTCATCCCCAGTTAAGACTGGCCAGATGGCACAGCAGAGGTGGCCACTTGGGATGGATGCTGATGGGTTTATCTGTTGTTAAAGCAAGCTCTATCTGCTTTTAAATTCCTCAGGGAACTTGAACACTCTGCTATAACCTTGCTTTCAGGAATAACCTCATCTCCCTCGTTATGGTTATCAGATGAGTGATGTCAGGCATTCAGATACATATGTGCAGGATTTGAACTTGAAGTCTCCTTTTCCTTGATCACCTTTTCTAGTGGCCCTGATCCAAAGGCCATTAAAATTGAGAGAAGTCTTGACATGTGATGACGGGAAGTGTCATCTACATTTCTCACTGCATGGAAATGGTTTGAGACTTGAATCCTCTTCTGAAAAGACCGTAATGATATAAGCACTTGAAATAATATCTACATGGCCTTAGAAATTCCCTTGGTATCATAAGTGGGGGTTTTCTTTTTAATTTTTCTTTTTATATTTTGTCTTTCCTCAGGTGAATGAAATTTACCATGATGAATCCCTGGGCATTCACATAAATGTCGTGCTGGTCCGGATGATCATGTTGGGGTATGCAAAGGTAAGCAAACCTCTGAACCAGTTGAATTTGGGCAGGTCAAAGACCAGTTTGATGCTTGCCTTGTAATTACATTTACTGAGCTTGTAGACACATGCTGCAGCAGAAGTTTCACAGCACCAGATGTTTAATCTGTGCTCACCAGCACACATTTACTGGCACTGGGGTGTTTCACACCAGTTGAGTCATTGTCCTATGTGTTTATATTATGTTACTCCTTCCACATAGGCTGTATGTCACTATGTGTTCAATCACCTCAACTGAGTAACATTGGCATCTGGCAGTCCAGAATGAAAGAAAGTTCCAACAAAAGAAATGTCTTTATTCAGTCCTAATATCAAGTCGTGCACACTACAGGCTATACACAGACAGACAGTTATTTTCATAGATGTTATGAAAAGTCATTAAATTGTCTTCAAAAAAAAGCCCTAAAGATGTACTATTACAGATGCATGGTCACTGTTAACATACTCATTCTCTTTTCTCAAAGGAAAGAAGACTGTCATGACTTTACAGTGATAGGGCATTAGGAAAATAGAAATTGGGTCATGGCTGGTGCTCTGAGAAAATCCAAACTTGCCTGAACTCCCTGCCTTGGAAGCTCCTGTCTCTAATGTGTTGCTCTTTTTCAGTCCATTAGCTTGATTGAAAGGGGGAATCCCTCCAGAAGCTTGGAGAACGTTTGCCGCTGGGCATATCAGCAGCAGAAGTCAGACCCCAACCACTCTGAGCACCACGATCATGCCATCTTCTTAACCAGGCAAGATTTTGGGCCTGCTGGTATGCAAGGTAATGCTGACCTGGAGCAGAACTGTCTGGGCTTGGTGTTTCTTGGCTAGCATCTGTCGGAAAACAGGAAGATCTGACAGTTGTGTTATTATAGAATCATCACAGACTGGTTTGTGTTGGAAGGGACCTCAAAGCTCATCCCTGTGCCAGGACCTCACCACTCTCACAGGGAAGAACTTCTTCCTAATGCCTAATTTCAGTCTCCCCTCTGTCAGGTTAAAGCCATTCCTCCTTGTCCTGTCCCTACAGGCCCGTCTCCAGAGCCCCTCTCCAGGTTTACTGTAGCCGCTTTAGGCACTGGGAGCTGCATTAAGGTCTCCCCAAAGCCTTCTTTTCTCCAGGCCAAACAAGCCCAGCTCTCTCAGCCTGCCTCCAGACCAGAGGTGCTCCAGCCCTCGCAGCATCTCCATGGCCTCCCCTGGACTTGCTCCAACAGCTCCACATCTCTTGTGTTGGGGGCCTCAAAGCTGTTACATGATCCTGAGGCAAAAAGCAATGTAGGCTTTTATTCATCAAATACTTAAGTGTTCAGTTTTAAAGATGTTCTGAAGCCTGGTCTTCTTGGGGTGGGCAGATAGACTGATCATAACTATCAGTTGCCTCATCTGGCTTTAGAAAAGGCTCAAGTTATTATTAGATATAATAAAAATAGCAACTATTATTATATAAAAATCTATTTTATATTATATAAAAACAGCTATTTATTGTTTCTAAACACCAGGTGTTTGTGTGTGTGTGTGCAGGGATCAGTAGGAATGCTCAGCTTTGCTTTTGTTTTGTTGCATTGTTGGCTGTAGATTTGGTTTTTATAGACAGCACACCAGCTACTTGGTACCCCCATTAATCTTTATGACTCAAGGAAGGGGAAGTAAATTCACAGCATGTGTTGCATGTGTTTTATATCAGTGCAGATAAAGGAGAATCTGCGTTAGACCATATTTTGGCTGTCCAATTGTGTTTGGTACCTCCGAGGTCCCTTTACCTTGCAGGGGCAGATGAGTTCTCTTTTGGGTCTGGGCTGTGAAGCAAAACTGAGATGTCAGGCAGACTTCCCTGTCATCAGAAAGATTTTAGCCATTTACTCTGTTTGACAGCAATTGCAAAGACAGAGAAAAAATTACCATCAAAAGAAAAGAGTCCTAGGCTCTTCTTACTTAGTAAGTTTGGGGGGGTGGGAGGTGTCTTGTTTACAATAAAATGTAATGAGCAAAAGAATCAAATGTGACTTCTTTCAACAGGATATGCCCCTGTTACTGGCATGTGTCACCCCGTCCGAAGCTGTACCCTCAACCACGAGGATGGGTTTTCATCAGCTTTTGTTGTCGCTCATGAAACGGGTCACGTGTAAGTCTTAACTTTTACGGTCAAATTGCCAACAAAATCTGGTGCTGCATCTCCTGCTTGCTTCAGATGGTTTAATTTTAATGGCCATATGAAAGGTATCCAAATTTTATCTCCATTCCCTTGGAATGAATCAGGATTTAAACAATGAAGAAATAGTCGGGGAAGAAAAGAAGGGGAAGAGAGAGGGGAGTTTGTTTTCTCTGGGGTGAGGCAGAGGTCGGTGAGAAATGTGGAAGGCCCAGGCAGTGGATTCACAAGCTCATCCAGCATCCAGAACTTCTTTCTTCTCATGGACTGAAAATGCTGATTTGTTAGATTTGGCACCTCTTCAAGAATGATAAAATGTGGGTAACTGGTTAAGCAAAGATCTCTGATAGCTGTCTGAATGAATTAATGTCAAGTACTGAGGATCTGATTTTTGTCTTCCTTAAGCAGCACAGGCTGCTTACTTAGTTCACTGCGGGGAATTTAGCCCCATTGGAGATGACCAGACCACTTGCATATTAGGCTGTTCCAGGTTCATATTTGGAGATGAGACATGGTAACCATGTTAGCTCTTTGAAGACGCAAAAGGATAACTCTTAGCTTTGTGTTTAAATAGGTGCTTTGGGTCAAAAATTATATGAATGTGAACAATTTGGTGCCTGAATGAAGAGCTCCCTAATGAGCTGAATTGTTGTTTTCCTTTCTCTGAAGCATAAGAAGTCATCATCATCATCATCTAGTGATCTCGTTCCTGGTATTAACAAATACAGCGAAGTATAACTTAAAGAGTATTGAAAGAATCCATATGTTTTGTTATCAGAGATCAGTTTGAAATGCAGGTGGTATATGTAGAATGCAAAAACCAATTTCATTTTGCATGATTACTTGTGCATGAGAAACTGTTTTCTTCACAGTTGTTTTATACATTGAAGAACAGGAACTGCCTGGGGTCTGATGCTTATTCTTTGTTACAGGCTGGGAATGGAGCATGATGGGCAAGGGAACAGATGTGGGGATGAGACAGCCATGGGGAGTGTGATGGCTCCCTTGGTGCAGGCTGCCTTTCATCGTTACCACTGGTCCAGATGCAGCGGCCAAGAACTCAAAAGATACATACAGTAAGGACCTGTCAGCACTTGGCAGTAGTTGTTTTCCTACAGGAAATCAAAGTCTTGGCAGTTCTGTGATGTGGAGCCAGAATGATGCCCTCTGCTAGCCAGCAGAGAGGAGAGGCCATCCCAGTGTGATGGAGCACGCACAAGTGTCATAAAGGGAATCATTGGCTGTGGGAGCTCTTTTTGATAAACACAGGGGTACTGAGGAATGGGATACCCCCAGGGTGGCCCAAAGGGATTCAGCCTTTAAAGGCATCCCAGTAGGATGCTCTGGGCTTTGGGGCAGCAGTAGCAAGACATCACCATCACTTCTTTTTTTCTTTCCCTTCAAATCTATATTAGAAAAGCTATAAAGCTTCCTCACATAGGGTTGCTCTCAAAACCTGTTACCTCCTCCATGACAACAATTGCAGGTTTCATGTCAGGTAGCTGGTGTTTTCCCAGATTTTTTGATTTCTCTAGGAGTTATGCTGTGAAGCTGTCAGGATGAAGCCCTGAACTCAGAAAAGGAACTTGCAAAATTTGTGGAAGAGAGTGGCAGCATGTGTGCACATGTCTGAATTAGGGAGAAAAGGAGAACAGATATCTACCCTACTGTAGTATCCCTCCATGTATGTACCTCTTCATCCAATTCTTACTCAGGCTTCCTTCTCCATTTCGAATACCTTGTTTTGTCAGTAAAAACTAAGTAAAAACATAATGGGTTGACCCACATCTCCTACAGAAGAAATCCTCTGCATAACATAAAGCATAAAATAGTAATTGGTTGAGACCTTAGAGCTTCAAGTGAAATATCCCAGCCCATCAGTATCCCTGTTTTAAGGCACAACAGTTAAATAGGAATAGCAAGCCTCATTCATACCCTTGGTGTAGTCAGGGCTTCATTCCCATGAATGCAGGACATGTCAGGCAGGAAGGCCTGTTCTCGGGTTACTGTCCTGTTTCAGAGCTCCATCAAGTCAGTGGAAAGAGTCCCTCTGTGCTTTGGGGAGCAATAACTACGTCAACAGGACAGAAAACAGGTTGGAGAAAAGGAGTATTGCCTTGCTAAGAATAAGTACTTCGATTGTGCTGATAAAAAAACCCAAATCAGTACATCTCATTATTTTTCCTTCTGCCTTTCCACAGCTCTTATGACTGCCTTCTCGACGACCCTTTCGAACATGACTGGCCCAAGCTTCCTGAACTGCCAGGCATCAATTATTCCATGGATGAACAGTGCCGCTTTGATTTTGGCATTGGCTATAAAATGTGCACTGCGGTATGTCCAAGGCAGTCCTTGCAAAGGCAAACGGCCAGGCAGCAAGTTGGTGCCTGGTCTTAGTTGAGAGCTGCAGTATATGCATTTTGTCATAACTGAAGAGCACTTAATGGAGTAGTTTAAACAGATCTAGAAAGAGGAGTAAGGTATTTATGGGTAAAACCCAGTTGCATGGGTCATTTGGTTTAATGGTCAAGTGGATGGCAGCACAGTCCACATGACACAGACTTGTGGTAGTGATCCCAAAGAAGCAGTGAAAAAAAAAATCTCATTTTCCTCCTATTTCTGGGTGTCTCCTCCTTTCCTCTTCTCACCAGCTTAGGGGTACAGGATGCAGGGAATAAGCACTGCCCTTCTCTTTCTGAAGATACTTTTGCCCTTCTCTTTCTGAAGATAGTCTACTTACCAATAGCTGTGCATGTGAGATGAATTGACTGTGTGGGATGAATTCTTATCTGAAGAGTATTAGTAATCTAACACTGAATTTCATCTCACAAATGTCCTTCATTTCAGTTCCGAACCTTTGACCCGTGCAAGCAGTTGTGGTGCAGCCATCCAGATAACCCATATTTCTGTAAGACTAAGAAGGGACCTCCACTTGATGGAACTGAATGTGCCCCTGGAAAAGTGAGTCAGGTGTTTTCACTATGTTTGTACTGGAAAGAACCAATTACATTCATTTGGGTTAAAGGGCACAGAGAAAAACAGGGAATTGCCTGGCATTCCCTGGGTGGAGCTAGAGAAAGTAAACCGTGGACATAGAAACTCCAATTGAGCTGTAACCCATTCTCAGCCTCTTCTGTGGGCTTTTATCTTTTTTTTTTGATTCTTGTCTCATCTGCAAAGTGTCCATAAAGTGTCTTTAGGAATCCATGGTAGCAGATAATGCCATCACTGTAGGACCACTTCTTAGTGCCTGTGGTCCAGACATCCTGTGGCTAAATGTTTGTGTAGGCTTAGGATTAGCTCTTTATGTTTCTCTTTTAATATCCCCATTACTGGGTGTTCTGCTGCTAATTTATTTTTAATTATAAAATTACACTCAGATAAATGTTTGTTTAGCAAACTCCATGTATTTTGAGATACAGGAGAGCCACTCAGACCATCTGAGTGCACCGTTGCCAGCAGCCCAGTGACTAGCCCTCTGTTCCAATCTGTTTGCTGGATAAGTGTGATATTTGGCCAGTATGAGGGGGAAAAAAAAAAAAAAAACAAAAAAAACCCAGCTAATCCTCAGCAAAACCGTTATCCTGCTAATATTCAGAACATTAAAATCCCTTCCAAAAAGTGGTAGTGACTAAGAGTCAAATGAAATAAAGACTTGAAGAGGAGGGTGGAACATGTTGAGCTTCACATGCCTGCCCATGGAAGGGTTCAGGCTTGGGTTTACTGGCACTGCCTGCTCACTGATGGAGCAGAAGGCCTTCAGGGAGGAGGATCCAGGTACTCTTGGGTCCAGAGTGCATGGACCCTCATCCCTCTGTCTCCAGGACAGTCTCTGCTTGCAGTCAATTCTCTGAGATGTCCCTTCCTAGCCCATGAGCTCACCGCTGTGTGCTTTAAATTTCACTGCAATTACACATTTGGTTTGGGGTTTGCTTCTCTTCTCATCTCATCTCTTTTTCTTTGTTCGATGTCTCCCAGTGGTGCTATAAAGGTCACTGCATGTGGAAGAACGCTAACCAGCTGAAGCAGGATGGCAACTGGGGACCCTGGACAAAATTTGGCTCCTGCTCACGGACCTGTGGGACTGGAGTTCGCTTTAGGACACGCCAGTGCAACAATCCAACGTAGGTCTTCTGGCTGGGTAGCATGTCCAGTCAGTGGGGAATCATTACAGGTGGCAGTTTAAATGGCATTTACATTGTGGATGGAGTCTGCCCAAATTCACGTTCTGTTCAAGCCCCTTGAAATGCAGCTTTTTGCAGGGAGCCAGGATCATTTTGGGAGAATCCAAGAACTTCCAGAGGAAAGCCTGCGGAAAACCATCCCAAAGATTTAGCTGATGTGTAAGAGAGTGAAAAGTACATAGCGTGTGAGCTCAGAAAGCTGCAGGATCAACTAGTTAACCTCTAGTTGTAAATCAACTATTATTGATAGCATAGGTGTGCACATGTCACTTGTGCACTTAAGTGTATGCCTTGGGAATGCATGGGCACACACTGAGGTTACACCACAGTGTAACTGCTCTGTTCCTATTCCTGTCTCTTCCCACCCCTTTTGTGCAAAACTGTCTCTTTTAAATAGAGTGTGACGTTTCACCTAAGACAAAAGAAAAATCCCCAGAGCTCATATCCAGAGAGCTTTAGAATGTCTTGAATGTTTTCTCCTCACAGGCCCGTTAATGGAGGTGAGGATTGTGCTGGCGTCAACTTTGAGTTTCAACTTTGCAATGCAGAAGAGTGTCCGAAGCACTTTGAGGACTTCAGAGCGCAGCAATGCCAGCAACGCAATTCTCACTTTGAGTATCAGAGCAGCAAGCACCACTGGCTGCCATACGAGCACCCCGACTGTAAGTTCTGTTGTTTGCCTTGATTACAAGTCAATCCTGGCATCTCCATGAGTCTTGTTCATGAGCCATGCAGAGAACAGAACTAATTGGTGCATGAGCCTCATAAAGGTGAGACTAAAAATGCAGAAATTAGATTAGAAATTAGGCAGAAGTTCTTCCCTGTGAGGGTGGTGAGGCCCTGGCACAGGTTGCCCAGAGAAGCTGTGGCTGCCTCGTCCCTGTTAGTGTTCAAGGCCAGGTTGGACAGGGCTTGAAGCAACCTGCTCTAGTGGAAGGTTTCCCTGCCTGTGGCAGGGAGTTGGAACTGGATGAGCTTTAAGCTCCCTTCCAACCTGAACCATTCCATGATTCTATGTAAAAAAGATGGCTCCATAAGGAAAGATTAGAAACACTTGTAATTTCCCCACTCTAGGCCAGCTAGCTTCCCTTGACTTTTATGCTCCTCTTGGTGAGAACATGATGTAGCAAGAGGCTTGAAGCTCTCAGCTTCTGCTGGAGTAGCTGGTAGGTGCCCATTGCATTCAACATGCTGCGCTGCCCAGATCCAGCTTTCTGCCATTGGGGCAAAGCATGGAAAGCTTCTGGTTGGGTCATGAAAAACTCTTCCTGCCCTCTCTCCAGTACAGCTCTTCATCTTATACTTGAGTACAATGTGTCAATGTTTGACTGCAGCTGCTGAAAGTATTAACAGTGTTTTTCTAAGGGCACTGATTTCTGTGGGAATGTCATCTCAAAGTGGTAGCATACAATTCTCAGAAAAGCAAATTAGCTGCTTTTTTCCCCACAGCTGTCTGCTAAAGGTCCTTTCTGCCTCTCTTATATTCTTGTCACTCCTTGAGTGGGATATTTTTCTGAAGTACATCTGGATTGCTCTTAATTTATGCAGTTCCTTCCCTTTCTTTGCTACACAGCTAATAAGAGATGCCACCTGTACTGCCAGTCCAAAGAAACTGGAGGTGTTGCCTATATGAAACAGTTGGCACACGATGGAACTCGCTGCTCCTATAAAGATCCCTACAGCATTTGTGTTCGTGGAGAATGCGTGGTGAGTGATGCTTCCCAAGGTCATCCCTGAGTTGGAGCTGGGCTGTGGCACACAGTGGGTAGAATCAATCGCAACAGCTCAGTGTGCGGAGATAAATTTTGCAAATGTTTCTAAATTAAGTATTTGCAGCACCATATTCCTCGTAAGTCCTTGAGACTTGGTGGATGAGAAACTTAACATGAGCCGGCAGTGTGTGCCTGCAGCCCAGAAAGCCAACCATATCCTGGGCTGTATCAAAAGAAGTGTGACCAGCAGGTCAAAGGAGGTGATCCTGCCCCTCTACTCTGCTCTCGTGAGACCTCACTTGCAGTATTGTGTACAGTTCTGGTGTCCTCAACATAAAAAGGACATGGAGCTGTTGGAGCAAGTCCAGAGGAAGGCCACGAGGATGATAAGAGGGGTGGAGCACCTCCCGTATGAAGACAGGCTGAGAAAGTTGGGGCTGTTCAGCCTGGAGAAGAGAAGACTGCGTGGAGACCTCAGAGCAACCTTCCAGTATCTGAAGGGGGCTGTGGAGGGACTCTTCATTAGGGACTCTAGTGGTAGGACAAAGGGGAATGGGTTCAAACTTAAACAGGGGAACTTTAGGTTAGATCTAAGGAAGAAGTTCTTTACAGTGAGGGTGGTGAGGCACTGGAATGGGTTGCCCAAGGAAGTTGTGAATGCTCCAACCCTGGCGGTGTTCAAGGCCAGGTTGGACAGAGCCTTGGGCAACATAGTTTAGTGCGAGGTGTCCCTGCTTATGGTAGGGGGGTTGGAATTAGATGATCTTAAGGTCCTTTCCAACCCAAACTATTCTATGATTCTATGATTCTATTTTAATTAAACTAGAGCAATGGCACAGACCTGGTTCATGGGAACACTCCGCTTCTCTTCAACTGATCACTTCCTTTCCCTTTTTTACACTTTGTTTCATGTCAGAAAAGAATTGTGTCTACTCTTTTGTCTTTCACATCTTAATCTTTATGGATAGTGAATATAAAGCAGGAATCACCTCCTGTTTATCACATGAAACCCATTATCCAGCACCAGATTTGCAAGTAATTAGTGTTTAAATGAAATAGATCAGTGCTGTGTGGTTAATTACCTCTTTGGATTAATTTTGGGGTGGCTTCCCACCGTAACTAAAACTGACAATCAGTGACAAAGCCTTCTTTGATTTTTTGTGTTTTTTGCTCTTCATTCTGCAGAAAGTGGGTTGTGACAAGGAAATTGGCTCCAATAAGGTTGAAGATAAGTGCGGCGTCTGCGGCGGGGATAATTCTCATTGCCGGACTGTGAAGGGAACCTTCACCCGCACTCCCAAAAAACTTGGTAGGAATAGCCTTTTCCTGCATCTGGATGTAGTTTCTGGTGTTTCTGTCATACTGCTTTTGCAGACCTGCTTTTAGGTAGCAAAACACAAGCTGTAAGCTGATGTGCAAAACCAGCTTAGTCCCTGATAAAGAAATGCCATCTTTAAAATGACAGGGTAGTATTTCTGTCCTTTAAAGGACCTGATAGGAGAAAGCTTCATCAGTCTCAGTGTATGGAGAAATACTCACCATGTAGAGCATGTTTAGTTCTTTTGAAGTGCTGAAGCCCAACCAGACCATGTTTGTGATGAGTGGGGATACACAAGAGTTTTGCTAAGCAAAAGTGAGCAGTGAAATGCAGAATATATCATCTGAGTCTACAGCCTCTATCTCTAGGAGGACTAAAGGAAACATCTTGTTGTGACTTTCTATTTTAAGGCTTTCCTGTATTGCTTTTTGTTTTCCAGTCTAAGGAAGCTACTCAGGGAAAAGTATCTTCTGTATGGCTGGGAGCAGGTATTTCAGGAATATCTGTCTGATAGGACTGTTTAAGACAGAGGAGAGAAAGGCTAAGGGCAACATAATACCAGTATCTGCATTAATGGTTTAGATGTTGTTTAATTGCTGCCATGAAGCATTAATAACTAAATTTAAACAGCAAGCAGCTAAATTAAACTTGGACCAAGATAAAGTAGTGTGCAACTGGAAATGAAATACATAAAATATGCTGCTGAAATTCTTACTAATTATTACAAACCAATTGGAAAAAATTACTGATTGTACTGATCAAATTACAGCAGAGAGCATTTCTGAAAAGGATATTTCCCTGGAGGCTAGTGGATTGGACAAGAATAATGACAGAATTATTCAGACTTGGGGAGTGATGGACTTAGGAGTGTAACTTAAACCTCATATTGAGGCTCAAGACTAAAACACCTAGGAGACAGTTCAGGGCAGAGTGCTGTTAATTAGCCATTTAGTTGCAAATTATTGTGGAAGTGATAGAAGCGTTTATGAAATGTTTATTGTTTTACCATAACTTTGGCAATCTAGTCATTAAAAAAGACTAATTGACCTCTTCCAACAGGAAAACATTTAAACAAGAAGTGCCAAAAAGAATTCAAGTTTCTGGAAAATGAAATCTGCAAGTATCCAACTTAAAATCACCTACCTGAATTTTCACTGATCTGGCTTTCATTGACTATTAACATTTGCTAGATGTGTCTAATTCTGCTTTAAACTCATTTGAATACACAATGTCATTTATACTTTACACTTGGAAAGACCATCTGGCTGAGAAACATAGTCAATGAAACCACAAGCCTTGGCTCCCATAGCACTAATTACAGACATTCTGTTTAAGGGAAGGCAAGAGGAGCATTTACATTGCCCAAAGGAGCTCGCAATATTTCCCTCTTTGAAACAAAGGAGTCTAAAAACATGCTGGGTAAGTTTAAAAGACTTGTAGGATGAGAGGCATCCATGGCAACTAGAGTTCTTGCTGCAGTTCACATCTCTCTTCTGCCACTGACAGATAACACCAAATCAGGCAAAAGATTTATGTTTCATATGCTTAAAGGATGATCAGTGAAAAGATTGGCACGTGCTGTTTGTGCAGTCACTCGTCAGCCAAGAGCATGATTTTACGTTTTCCTAGCTCTTCCTTTTCGTCACGTAGATTTTCCAAGGAGCTGTAGTATGTCAGGTGCAGAAAAAGCTACCAGTATATTCACTAGTCCTAGGACCCCCAGTATGAGACAGAGCAGAGTAAAAACCAGAGAAACTTACTCAGCTCTTAAAAAAGAGATCTGCAGAGATTTATCACCATTAAATCTGCAGTTGGTAAAGAGAGAATAATAGAACTATGAAAATACTGTGCACTCAGAGTGCTTGTGATGCTCTTGAGTAAAACTTGATGTAGACGTACCTGTGACAGGTTCCTAGGAGATATTTTAGTCTTCTTAATGACAGTACTTAATGTTATGCTAATTACTCGTGGTTTGGACTGGTGAATCATTGCAATTTGAAATAAGGATCATGTTCTTTGGGAACAGCTTTTTACTTTCAGCTGTGGAGAGTTGAATTCACTTAAAGCAGCAGCAAAGTAATCAATGCATTTTACATTCACAGTTGTAAATAACTTGTGTTAGCTTCCATACAGATGAGCCTTTTCTGATGTGTAGGGGCAATACCCTTCATGCTACACCCTCCTTCCTCCAGTATCAGAAGTAAGCAGACACACTTAAGACATTGACATCTAACATGTGATTAAGTCAAGTCCACTCTAACAGCCTTGTTGGTGAGTGATTTGGAAAAAATAAACAGGAGGACTTGTGTTTTTCACCTTGTGTGCTTAGAAAACATAGGAAACATTTTTGCCTGACTTGGTGATTGACACGGCCTATAGCAGTGTAGCTAGTCAAGTGACAAATAGATTTGTAACTGGTTTCTCCCTCTGAAAGAGAAAAAACAACAAACAGGTTGCAAACCTATTTGCTCTGTTTCTTTCTGACACTGCTTCTCATTTGGTGATGGATGCCCTCTTCCACAAGTAGAAACTGGGTCATGTAGCATGCTCCTAACCATAGCTGTCACTTTTTCTTTCCATCTCTGCTTTCTCCATTGACTACTACACATGCCAAAGGGTACCTAAAGATGTTTGACATCCCTCCCAGTGCTCGACATGTGTTTATCCAAGAAGACGAGGCTTCTCCTCACTTTCTTGGTAAGTGTTTGTCTCCTCAGGGTTGGCTTTGAGGCATGATGAGAAGCACAGGGCAGTCATACAGAAGAACTTGAGTAATGAGATAATCAAATTCAAGTATTCTGGGTAAATATGTACACTCAGAATTGCATGTTAAGGACTGCATCCTACAGCATCAGCTCAGCAAGCAAACATTTACCTGTCATTTGAATCCTTTGAAATATTAAACTGATCCCAGTTTGCATGTTTACTAACAAAAGGTTGTCATCACTTACATTTAAATGGGCACTGCCAGGGTAAAAGTTCTGTTTTCTAATTTCTGAATCAAATTTGATATCTGTAATTATTCTTATTTGCTGCAGATTGCAAGCAACAGCTGTTTCAATGGAACGAAGATTGGGGAACTTGTGCTATGTTTGCAGTTCATTTATTTATTTATTTCTCACGTAGGATGGTTCATAGTGTTGTCAGTCAGTTTGTATCTTACTGATTACCGTCTTCTAACTCTTAAGGGAAAGGGGTGAGATCTTCCGTGGATTTTAATGGTCTTTTAATTGGCTCCCCATATGCTAGGGCAATGTCTGTTGTAAACACTTCAGGCAGAGTTGGATTAGTAACTAAAAGAATTAAAAATAGAAAAGAGGGAATAAAAAGAAATGTTGATTTTGAGATCCAAGTGTGTCATTTTCGAGCAAGCATTGCCTGATAGTAACTTTCAGAGACGCATAGCTTTGCTTTGGCAGCATCTTCATGAAGCTATTCACCAGGTACTCAGAGCTCCTGCATTTGGATTACAATAATCATAGGAACTTGTAAGATTTCTGCATAGTTTGTCTTCTCATGTTTTATGATGCATTGGTAAAAGTTGTACAGAAGGAAAAACAAGAGTCTATCTTTCACGTATCTGATGTATTGGCTTCTTATTGGAGCATAATAGTACTACTAATCATCCTCATCATCCCCATACTATCTGATTTTCAAGGTGTGGTGCAGTAACCCAAAACCACATAGATTCCTGGCAGTTCCAATGCCTCAGCTCTTTACTTACTGATTTTAGCATCTGGTACATACATATGTATGCAAAAGAAACTACAACATGATGAAGTTGTCATTTTCATAAACTGAGGAAAATAAGAAATACACTTGGAGTCTGCTGAGTGTCTGTGATACTACTAAGCATTGCAGGTAATCTTGATTTTGGTCTTGGCCAAATAAGGAAGGCAGGTGATCATGAAGATTTGACCTGAGTTCCTTGCTACAACCCATGCTTCTCAGGAACTAAGCTGGTATGGGAAATGTGCACATTACATGGGAAGAGGTGCTTCAGTCTAGCTCTAGCTCTAGATCTGTATCTAATTCACATGGATAAGGAGGTACAGAATTGAAGCAAACACACAGAAACATCTGTCATCAAACTGGGATTTGGAGGCTGCATGAGACAGCCTTGGAGGGCCTTTCTCTGAGCCAGGGCATCTATAGCAGTTCATAGAATCACAGAGTGGTTTGGGTTGGAAGGAACCTTAACACTCATCGAGTTCCAACCCCCTGCCACAGGCAAGGACACTGTCCACTAGACCAGCTTGTTCAAACTGGCTTGCTAGCACATTGGGGTTTTTTTCACAAGTCCTTCTGTAATATCTCATGTCAAGTTTCACATAAGCGCCCATGATGGCTGTTGACTGGGAGGCACGACTGGCCCTGTTTTCAATCCTTTTAGCAATTAAGAACCAGGCTACAGGACACTACATTCTGAATGGGAAAGGGGAGGAGGCCAGATCCCGATCTTTCATCGACCTGGGTGTGGAGTGGGAGTACAACATTGAAGATGACATCGAGACTCTCCACACGGATGGGCCCTTGCATGATGCGGTGGTTGTGCTGGTAGGTTATGTGTCACAGAGTGAGATTATGGCGGGTTTGTCAGAATATGGTGGGTGGCCAGCATGGAGCTTATGCTGAGATAAATCTCTGTGGCATAATGCCTCTCTGAAGAACACATGCCAAGGAGGTGGCTGGAGCCTTTTCTCATGAGCTGTTATCCTCATCTAAACTGCTGCCTGTTCATGCAATGGTAGCATGTCAGCAGCAGCCAAACATATTGCATTGTTGGACATCACTGGGACACTTTCAGTGGACTGAAAAAAGGCATGTCATCTCAAACCCTGTCTGAGACCAGCCATGCTCTGTTGCCAGGTAAATGATGTGGCCACACCACCCTTTCATAAAATCGTAGAATCACAGAAGAGTTTGGGTTGGAAGGGACCTTAAAGCACATCCAGTTCCAAGCCCCTGCCACGGGCAGGGACACCTTCCACTAGAGCAGGTTGCTCCAAGCCCCATCCAACCTGGCCTTGAACACTGCCAGGATGGGGCAGCCACAGCTTCTCTGGGCACCCGGTGCCAGGGCCTCACCACCCTCACAGGGAAGAGCTTCTGCCTAAGATCTCATCCCAATCTCCCCTCTGTCAGTTTAAAGCCATTCCCCCTTGCCCTGTCCCTACAGGCCCTTCTCCAAAGTCCCTCTCCAGGTTTCTTGAAGCCCCTTTAGGCACTGGAAGCTGCTCTAAGGTCCCCCTGGAGCCTTCTCTTCTCCAGGCCGAACAAGCCCAGCACTCACAGCCTGTCTCCAGAGCTGAGGTGCTCCAGCCCTTGGAGCATTTTCATGGCCCTCCTTTCATCCTGGATAATGCTGTCCCACTTGACCAGCTTAGAAGTGTGTCTCATTTTAAACAGCTCTATGTTGATCTTACTTCTGTTAGTCCTAACTGCCAAGACAAACCCCAATTTTTCTTCCCCAGCGAGTTAACTAGCAGTTTCCGTGTTTCCCCAAAAAAACAGGCCTTGCTTTCTTTACTTTGCAAAGGAATAAATAATAGCTCTGGGTTTGTACCGCTGTTTACTTTTGGTTATTGATAGATCATTCCTCGGGAGAATGACACGAGATCCAGCCTGACCTACAAGTACATCATTCATGAGGACTCAGTACCAACTATCAACAGCAACAACGTCCTTCAGGAAGAAGTAGACACTTTTGAGTGGGCATTGAAGAGTTGGTCACAGTGCTCCAAACCCTGTGGTGGAGGTAAACAGATGGTATAACACCTTCTAGTCATGAGTGACCAGTTACCCAAAGTGGAAAAGTAAAAGGTGGGGGAAGCGAATAATTTACAACTCTTGGCCTTCCATTTTTTTAAAAGCAGTTTCTTATTTTGCATGCCCCAGCTTAAAATATCTTATGTGGCTGATTATTCTGAGTGTCACACTTGCAGTCTAGGAAGAAGAAGTCTTTTTCAGGTGTTCAAATTCAATACCCAAAGCTGTTGTGGAAGTACAGACTCAGACATTCATGCTACTGAGCATTCACTTTACTTATGGCATGTACATTACTCTTAGGCAAAGAATAGGGAATGAAAATGTCAAAATAACTTTAACTGTTACATACAGTAGTTGAACAGGTGATGTGTCCTGGTAGCAAAAACACTAAAGGGAGACATGTTCATACCCAGGTTAGCTGGTGACCTGCTGCTTGATGTTAAGGAGGTAATTTCTCCCCTTGCTGTGGTGTGATTTGTGTGTAGTGCAGAGGTTTCATTAAAGGGTCATAACTGCCCTTCTGGCCTTAAAGACTTATCGCAGTGTCATGTTATCAGTTGGCCATAAACCTGATACTTAAGCCATAAATTCTAGCAAGGACCTGTTTTTCTTATTATTTTTTTTTCCCGAACTATTTTCCAGGGTTTCAGTACACCAAATATGGGTGTCGCAGGAAAAGTGATAACAAAATGGTTCATCGCAGCTTCTGTGAAGTCAGCAAAAAGCCCAAGCCCATCCGTAGAATGTGCAACCTTCAGGAATGCACCCAGCCTCTGTAAGTACACCTTAAGTAAGTGCTAAAGGGTAGAAATGGTTGCACCTTGCAGTAGGAAGGTGACCCAGGCAAAACTGGGTAGGTAGGATGGTGACAGCTTTCTAGGATGGAGTTGTTCGTTATGGATGATTTTTTCTACCTATAGAAGAAAGCTTATGGATCTTATTGAATGGTTTCATCTCAAAAATATTGCGTACTAATGGCTGCCCAACCTGGCAGCAGTATGGATCATCAGTACAAGTTGTGGTGGTATCTCCTTCCTTGTTTCTTCCCAGCTGGGCAGCAGATGAGTGGGAGCACTGCACCAAAAGCTGTGGGAATTCTGGGTACCAGCTCCGCACGGTGCGCTGCATCCAGCCTCTTCATGACGGTGTGACCCGCTCCGTGCATTCCAAGTACTGCAGTGGAGACCGCCCCGAGAGCCGCCGGCCGTGCAACCGCATACCATGCCCTGCACAGTGGAAGGCTGGATCCTGGTCTGAGGTAGGTGAGCCATGAGCGGGTCTCACACCTTCGCGAACATCCCATCCCTCTCAAGTCAGGTCTGTGCCAGACAGCTTCCTAAAACCTGGAAATCTGCAGCAGAAAATGCCTTTGAGCTTCATGGGTTTCTATAGCTCTCCAGCCTTCTCCAGAAACCAGCAAGGAAAATATTCACAATAGACAACGGTGTCCTGGGCTGCATCCACAGCAGTGTGAGCAGCAGGTCAAGGGAGGGGATTCTCCTCCTCTTCTGTGCTCCGGGGAGACCCCCCCTACAGCCTTGCATCCAGCTCTAGGATAGCAACACAAGAGGGTCATGGAGCTGTTGGAGCAAGTCCAGAGTTGGCTACGGAGATGCTGCGAGGGCTGGAGCACCTCTGCTCCGGAGACAGGCTGAGAGAGCTGGGCTTGTTCAGCCTGAGAGAAGGTGGCTCTGGGGAGACCTTAGGGCCATTTCCAGTGCCTAAAGGGGCTACAAGAAACCTGGAGAGAGGCTTTGGAGAAGGGCCTGTAGGGACAGGGCAAGGGGGAATGGCTTTAAACTGACAGAGGGGAGATCGGGATGAGCTCTGAGGCAGAAGCTCTTCCCTGTGAGAGTGGTGAGGCCCTGGCACCG